TAATAAAGAAACTATGACCGAACTCGAAGTGAACATTAAGAGAGGCAGCGAGCAAAGCAATAACGGATGGGGAAGCTTCCAATGGGTGGAAACTAAGCAGGATGAGCATGATCTATAGAGGAAATGGGGACAAAGCCGATATAAACAACTAGCGTCCTATAACAGTGACATCAGTAGTTTACAGGCTGGTGATGCAGATAGTAAAGGAAAGACTACAGACTTGGGTGGAGAATGAGGGGGTGCTAAGAGAACTACAAAATGGGTTCCTTAAACGAAGGAGGTTGGAGGACAACCTGTTTTCATTGATGCAGTTTATTGAAATAGCGGAAAAAAGAACACAGGCCCCTGTGGCTGGCATTACTAGATATCAAGGGAGCTTACGATAGTGTGATTCAAGAAGAATTGTGGGGTATACTGGACACACTAGATGTGGAAGATGGAATGACTAAACTTCTAAAGGATATCCATAAAAGTAACAAGGTAGTTATCAGATGGGAAGAACAGGTATCTGAACCTATAACGACACAACGCGGGCTTCGACAGGGATGTCCCTTGTCACCTTTATTATTTATGCTGTATTTCCAAGGACTAGAAGCCAAATTAGAGGGGAGTCGACTCGGCTTCAGCCTCTCTTTTGCCAAGCAAGGAAAACACATTGAACAGTCATTACCGGCATCGATGTGTGCAGATTATATTGTATTAATAGCCGACAACAAGGAAGATCTGCAGATATTGATATACATCTGTGGTAATGAGGGAGATAGGTTACATTTGAAGCTCAGTGGGGAAAAATCAGCAATCATGATTTTTAATGATAACAAAAGCAGTGAGCATAAGATACAGGAAGTCACGCTAGAAATAGGGCATAAATACAAATATTTGAGCGTATGGATAAATAACGGGGCTGAGTATCTAAGGAAGCACGAAAGATACTTAATGACTAGGGGCACCATGAATTCAGCTGTAATGAAAAATAGGGCACTATGGAACTACAATAGGTATGACGTTGGGAGAGGGATTTGGAAACGTGTCATGGTCCCGGGTTTGACGTTCGGCAATGCGGTCTTGCGCATGAAATCAGAAGTTCAAGCAAGATTGGAAATTAAACAACCTGGCATAGGTACACTTGCTTTGGGAGCACACGGGAATACCCCAAATCAGGGGGTACAGGGAGACATGGGATGGACATCGTTTGAGTGCAGGGAAGCTAGCAGCAAGATTGAATTTGAGGAACGATTGAAAAAAAATGTGAGAGGAGCGTTGGACTAGGAAAGTTTTCAGCTACTTGTACAGGAAGAATGTTGATACTAAATGAAGGAAGCGAACTCGAAAATTGTCAAGCAAGTATTTAGACAACAGCAGAATACCAAGCCAAAAGGAAACATCGGTTAAAAACAAGGTCAAGGAAACAGAGAGGGACATGTGGAAGATGGGTAAGTTTACGAAATCATCACTGGAGATCAACCGAACTTTTGAGCAGGAAATTGCAAGGAAAAAGATCTACGATAATTCTTGGGGTTGTTCTTTGCTCTTCGAGGCTCTAACAGGAGTATTGCGAACCAAGACGTACCAAGCAAAATACGAAGGCACCGACATGGTATGTAGTGCGTGTGGAGAGGAGGAGGAAACGGCTGAACATTTGATAATGTTCTGTAAAGGGCTCCACCCTATAGTCGAAGATAATGGTGCCGATTTTTTCTAAGCATTGGGGTTTAGGGACAGTGAAGGTAAAATAGTCTTTAAACGGGTAGAAATAACCAGGAGGAGGCTAACTGATTGGTGACTACAATCGAGGCGCGAGTGAAATTCAATCCTTAAACACACAGTGATAGTACTTAACTTTGCGGCTAGGTGGCGTGACCAACCACCCGATCTAAAGGGCACAGCCGGATCCATCCATCCATCCGTCCGTCCGTCCGTCCGTCCGTCCGTCCGTACGTCCGTCCGTCCGTCCGTCCGTCCGTCCGTCCATCCATCCATCCATTCATCCATCCATCCATCCATCCATCCATCCATCCATCCATCCGTCCGTCCGTCCATCCATCCATCCATCCATCCATCCATCCATCCATCCATCCATCCATCCATCCATCCATCCATCCATCCATCCATCCATCCATCCATCCATGGCAGGTCCGGCGCCTGGTGTGGCAACGCTGGCGTGACGCGACGAAATGAACGCAGGCGAGTACGCGCACCGCGTCACGTTAAAATGCATTGACGACTTGACTGTGGCATGTAGTCATGTTCTCACATGACACGCATCTCATGATCATGTTTGCACCAGTGACATACCTTCGTCATCCATTGGCGTCACGTAATACCGAGTTTAAGACATGTGAAGCTAGTGAAACGGCCGCGAGCGCATCATCAGCGTAGCATGTAGTCATCTTGTTACATGACACGCATCTCATGTTTATTATGTTTGCACTAGTATCATACCTTCGTCATCCATTCACGTGCCGTAATACCAAGTTTGGTATAAGTGAAGCTAGCAAAACGGCCGCCAGCGCATCATGAGCATGGTATGTAGTCATGTTGTTACATGACACGCATCTCATGATTATCATGTTTGCACCAGTCACATACCTTCGTTATCCATTTACGTACTGTGATACCAAATTCGGTATATGTGACGCTAGCGAAACATGTCATACATGTCATGATTTTCATCTTATGACTAGTCAAATATGTTCGTCATACAGTCATGTTATGCCATACCAAGTTTGGTATTGATACCATTATGGAGACGGCCAGATGAGCTAAATGTCATAGGCGGATAGATAGATAGATAGATAGATAGATAGATAGATAGATAGATAGATAGATAGATAGATACGCTCTAAGTCGCCGAAGTTCGATAAGAAATGCTTCGCATTTAAAAAGAAAGAAAGAGAGAAACAAAGAGTTGGTTGAAAAAAAGAAGTTATTCAGTGCCACTTTTAGCGTGGCACTCACTATCAGTCGCACAGTTTTCATGCCCATAAGTGTACAAGGGGACGACCGCCCAGTTGGTAAGACCATTGGCCGCGTGATAGCAAGGCACTTTCTGCCAGCGGCAAGTTGCCTTTTCGCCTACTTAACGTTCTCGCATCTGTATCACAGACAGATATGCAAGCGAGTGTTGTAAGCTCCAAACAGCACATTTAGCCGTTCCCTATACGTTGTGGTGCTCTCTCCCTCTCTCTTTGGAGAGAGATATGGAAGCAAGTGTGCAGAAATAGTGCTAGAGCTTTTAGAATTACACCCTTCTATTTCGATTTTTCTTGTATTCCTGATATGACCTTGCGGCTATACGTTCCAAATATTGTATGTGTACTTATGACACCACGTAGTACTATACCTCACGTCAAGCGTTCAAAACTACAAAAAGAAGTTCACTGCAAATTCATTTACCTTAGCCAAGTTTTTTTTTTGGTCGTGTTCAGAGTAGACTACTTCAACAAGCATAACACTTGTCAAGAAACCAATGGACCGACATGAGCACAGTTTGAGTTCGGAAGTCACTTGTTCACTCGACAAAATGCTCACGTAGCGCAGTGATGGTAAAAATATCAGGCAGCAGAAATACCGTAATTGAACAAAATGTTCGCAAGGTGTAAGCTTTTTTGGGCACCTAAAAATAAGGCTTCTCTAGAGCGTCACACTGCAACCACCACAGTGATGTGCTGAGACACGACTGTCACATAAACGCAGCACATCCACTAAAGTAGCAAAAAAAGAACACTTAAACGAGAATACCTTCTATTTCAAAGCAGTAACAGTGAAAGTATAAATTTGATATTTTCTCTTCTTCCAAAAATTGCTATATTCTACAGAAAATTTTTATATTACGTTACGATTTTCTGATATTCATGGCTGTCTATCCGAACCTCGTATCGCATGCCAAAATGAAGCGTAATACTTTTTAGTGTTGAAGTAAGTGCTCTATATAGTCTTGGAGCATCTTTACATGAGTATGTCGTAATGCGAGTTTTTTTTTGTAACTTGCAGAAAGTACATCTAGTACTGGCGGTGCGTAGTTGAAACTCATGAATTACGCATTTAACACATATGTTGATTTTATTTGTTATATTGAGTTCTGCGCTAGTGTCAGTAATACACATGTGGCAGTTTCAGCCTAATTGCAGTTCATTCATATAACAACATACAATATTTGATTGGATATTGCGCAGATGAGTGTACACTCAAAAGTTTGCAGCAAGAACATCAGTTAAGAAAAGAGATGTTTACATACACACTTGTTAAACCAGCAATAATTTCTTAACATATCGTTAAAACGATAAACGTATGCAATGATACACAAAATATATGTAGAAATTGAAAAATGCACACAACGTGCTACACAGAAAAAATTGCATAATGCACAGAGCAGGAAATAAGGAAATCATAAATAAACAGCAATACACCTAATAGGTCAAGAAAATGCCTACACAAAACAAAACATTAATTCACGTCTGAATGCATAAAAAAGATTGTGATTTAAACGAATAAGATAGTGTGAAATACCACAGCGTGAAATTTCGGAATAAAATAATATATATAGGGCACTTTCCAAAGTAAATTGCCAAAAAAAAAAACACCCCACACTAAACGGTATTAATAACAATGACATCTCGGGGTAGGTCACGCATTTATGTCTTATCATCATCTGTGGAGCTCTCTGTAGTTAGACGATGACCTGTGAGCTATCAGTCGTTAATTTATTTTGCGATCATAGCATGACTTCTCAACGAAGTGTTTATATTTATTCGCGATAGAGCTGGTTCAGTTGAAATATCTATATTTTAAAATTTTTCCTCTTCACGGACTCCCCGCTTCCTCACTTTGGAAGGTTGCGCATCAACGCGAAATTAGCCCTGTTAGTTTTCTACATTTCTTTTTTTCTCTAGGAGTCACATTTTATGCGCAAGCTGCTGTACCCTTATTAACATCTCCCAGTGCCAGAGGGGAGTACCCTCGCTGTATTTTACGTTTCAATAACACGCAATGCTAATTTATTTATTTACTATCGGATGGAGTTCACGTGTATTTTTCGAAGTTGCCTGCTTTCTATATCCCAATATTTTAATCCCCCATTTCTTTCCCCCAGTGTAGGTTAGCAGACCGGACACTCATCTGATTGACCTTGCTGCCTTTCCTTCCTCTTGATCATCCTCCTCCCAAAGCGTAACTAGCTCAGCCAATCTTATCGGGAAAATATCAAAGATTCCCTCTTCCATAAGCGTTTTATTTTCTGTAGTCATTGGCACAATATCATTGACATACTCTTGTTGACGAACATCATCTACACTGGCGGGTAATGCTTTTTTAGTTAACTAACTGTAATGAAGAAAACGGCGCACTGTCATTGGCATGTGCTCTACTGGGGGAATACAAGAGGAGGCGGTGGAGAACAGCCGGCCCAGTGAACGATCGTTGTCTTCTCTCTCTCTTCGTTGCAGTAAGCCACGGATGAACTTTAGCCATTACAGTGCATATGAAGCACAAGTTGTGGCTGAGGTTGCCTTCCTAGTCCAGGCCCCTAACCTGCGACGCCATTCTCTAGTTTCCGTTGTCTCCTACACCTGCGCCAACACAGGCTCACCATCCAGGTGGCTGTAAAGACAGCGTTGGTGACGGCAAACGCCGCGTAAAGAGGATTGTACGATCCGATGACGTCTCGTGCGTGGCCTGCGAGAGTGAAACGCCACGAGTCATAAATTCTGACTCAAGAAAAACGTACGACTCTGGCCTCAGGCTCAAGTGCATTACAACTTTTTGATCACATATGAAAACAAGGCCTTCGATGAAGCCAGACCCTTATAAGAAGGGGAGGGGACTGGAAGCCCGGACCTCGCCTCCCCTAGAATTCAGATAGTGTGGAGTGTTTTACCGAAAATGTATAATGAAAATTGGTGTTTTTCAAGGCCTTCGACAAGTACCCCATTCCCCCGATAAAAATCCTTGGCTACGGGCCTGCAGATGGAGCTCTTCGTTTAACGAAAGGCCCAAAAAAAAAACTTGGGAACGCTTGAGCTTCGTCACAAAGAGTAGAAGAACGCGATGGTGTGTTCGGACACCATACCTTTAGTCGTCTATTCGCATGCCATGCTTCGTTTTATAGTGGACACCTAAACCTTGGGGAGAGAAAAGAAACGTCTGTGGGCGTAATTTGGTGGTTTAAATTGTTGTGGTTAAGTACCCACTACAAGGGGTGTAGCAGCTTGTGCATGCGCAAGCGGGGGAGGGGTGGAGAGTGCCCTCCTTCTACACATGTATCGAAATAAAGAGAGACAGATCTTTATTAGCGCTCAGTCTGATGAGATCTTTAATACACAGAGTGGGAACTGGTTTAGCAGAAAAAGTTTGTTCACTCTTACGTAGCATACGCTGGGACAGCTCTGTATGCGCTTGTGATGCGTATAACTTTACGAGGAAAGCTCTTTTTTATATTCACCACACAACTTTATGGTTGAGTAATGTCACTGTGGCCTTCCAGCAGCCGTACCAGAAGTATAGATTTGTATCATTCATTGAAATTTCGTTAATGTCCAAAAGCTGCGCACTGTCCAGAAAGTTCACGATGCGTCTGAGAGGATTTGCGTTCCGGTCCCTACGTGAGAATGGCCGCTTCTTGTTGAGCCACGCTCTGCAGGACCCCACTAAAGTTTACCATACATACCATACCATACCATACCATACCATACCATACCATACCATACCATACCATACCATACCATACCATACCAATAAGTGCATTTTAAAGCGAATCGTGTTTGATTGGCTCGTAAAACGTTAGCTGGTTTCCACCTGCATACTTGCATCGTTGAAGATGTAAAGTTCAGGCCAGCTAGAACAGCATCAGAGCATGACACCGTGTTCTAAATTTATAGAGCCCCAGCTGAGCGGTAGCCTCCTCTGCAGTGCTGGTGCGCAAAGCACAAAAGCGTGGAATAGGTGGGCTGCACCACAGAAAGCCCATACAGGGCGTGGTTGTGAGACAAGGAGGGCCACCTTCGCAGCAAATGCAGTGGACCAATTTCAATATATAATGGCGTGATTACTGGGATGAAGGAAAATGTCACCTCACTTGTTGGTTCCCAGTGTGCAGCTGACAATGATCATATGCCTAAAAGTAGGAGTGAGGAACTCCACCCCCTAGCTTTTCCTTTTGGGGTAGATCGCTTCCCCTTGCACCCGTTACTATACGCCAACTACGCCATGATTTATTATACTGAGATTCAGCGAGGTATACCACTGAGTGTTCATTAGAAAACACGCAGAGCTGTACGATTGGTGCTGTTGCCGTTGAATATTTATACCTAAGCGCTTCGTAATGAGTGTGCCTGTAAACCATCCACTCGTTTTGCGTAATCCACTTGTGGCGCCAGTTACAATTCTGCGCTTATTACACGCACTATTACATATGGTAATGGCATTCCTCACGCTACGTTGAGCTCGTATGGGTTTTCGTTTTTTTTTTTACAAATCATTTGCATCCATTGGCATGGCTCTGTGGTATAGAACTCCTGACTGCCACGCGGAGGAATTTTGTTCGATTTCCACTCGAATAAGAAATAATTTTTCATTTGCATCTATCTTCATTTTTGCTCACGGGTAGGGCCGATTTTCCGCTCAGTACCAGTGACGACGATGCGACAGTATAAGCAGGCATTCCTTCAAAACGAGCTTACAATATCACCAGACTCCTGTAATTACTTGACGTCCGTGTCACAGTTTTAGCCGTAACGACAGTTACTAAGGAACTCGAGCGTGTGATAGCCATACCGTGGTGACTTTCGTGCTAAACTATAGCAGCACTCCAGTTCTGAGATCCTAGTCAATATACATCGAGGCTTAAATAAGTTAGAACTACTGCGGCGCCTCAGTCCGCCGTAGTGGTGTAGCGGTTACGATGCTCCGTACTGAACCGAAGGTCGCTGGTTCGATGCCGGTCGCGGTGGTCACCTTTCGATGGAGACGATATGCTAGACGGCCGTGTACTGTGTGATGAAGGAGCGCGCAAAGGTTAACAAAATTTCAGGAGCCCTTCTCTATACGGTGGGGCTTATAATCATATCGTGGTTTCGACACTTAAGGTTACAAGTACAGTACCCCGACTGAAGCCTCTCTTTAACAGCACAAGATAGTGAAACTCGATATGAAGAAGTATGCAGCTTCTTCACAGTAGCAGCGAAAAAATTCTACGAGGTCTCTCGCCTGTAAAAGGACTTCAGGGGGAAATCCTCAGAACTGATGCATTAAAGCCACTTGGTCCGGTTACACCGTGCTCTTCAGACCCACTTTCTAATATTCTGTCACCCCATCCGGCGCTAACGGCCGTCTGCATAGCTTAAAGCAGACGTTAAAGCAAACGTTAAATATGAATACGTGACGCGTTGTGTTCGAGCGTTACACCGTCCAAAAATGCCCGCGCTTAGTGTAAGAAAAGAAAGTATAGGAGAAAAGTTGAAGTAGTAGAAGAAATGAGATTAACATTGCCTTTGGCCTGCATTACATTGCATCGATTATCAGTCATGCCGAAGGACCCTTTTTTATTTATTGCGTAAGCTCGCCTTACGGCATCAACACATATTTTACAGCTGCATTTCTTCCATGCATGAAGTCTAGGAAGAACCTATGGTCGTGCCTGAGTTTGAACGAAACATTTGCTAGCTGTATAAAAGGTGTTGTGTAAACTACAGGATAATTGGCTATGAATATGTCTGAACTTTGTACATCGTTACCATTTTGTCACTTAGAAAAATTGTTCAACAACACTTTTACGAGATGCCTCATAGTGGGACAAATAAAGGAGCGATCTGGGAAAGTACTGTACGTAATTATTGGCCTCCGAAATAAGCACAACCACTCAAGTTATCATGTGCACAGAGGCAGGCGTGAGTGTCGAATTCTTAATAAATTTATTACCAACGCGCTTCTTCTAGCTAATTTTGTGCAATTTATTTAGGAATATCGAGGTCTATGGTGGTGTGTAAAAAAGATAATCACATGTATAACTCTGATGGCTTTAGTAACGAATGTTATGTTTAGTAACGAATAAAGAGAGGGTTTCTCACCAATGAGGGATGGCCTCGCAAGGCAAACGATGCCGGCCATGAAGTTCGTGATGCCGAGACTGAGTGACAGTGAATGTTGGTCAAACAGCTCGGCAATCATGACGGTGCAGGCGAATATTCGGCCCCCGGACGTCAAGCCGGTGAAGAAGCAGCTGGCAAGGAGGAGCCAGTATTTCTTCGTAAGCGCCAACACAGCCATGGCGGCTGTTTGGACGGCGAAGCTCCACAGCATCAAGGCTTCACAGCTTAGCACCTGTTTTGAATGAAAAATGTAGGACTTACGCGGCAACAAAGACGGCCAATTTGTGAGCTGTGCTCATACGGCAGCTAAGCGGTCGCGCTGCTGGAAGTGGTTTAGATTCTTGGCCCTGGCGTTGCCCTGGCGCCCGCATTTCAACCAGGGTTCCAGGGTTATATACGTGACGCTCTACAAGTAATCGATTACTTGTAATCAATTACATTTTCTCGAAACTTTTCAATATAATCGATTATTTTTTCGAAGATGTAACGTCCCGGGTGATTACGTTACATTTATTTGTACCTGCTTGCCTGTAATCCGTTACATCCCCGCCCCCCCCAAAAAAAAAGTCGAGTTGTAACCAGCCTTTTACGGCAGGTCTCGTCCCAAAAATATGAGGCCGCTTTGTAGGAACCCCTCATTCTGTAAGAGGTACCCTACAGAGCCTAATTTTCCACCTTTTCCTAGGCCTTACCAGCAATGTCTTACGCGAGCGCCAGAAACAGCGAATAGTGATGCTTCATACTGTAAAGTTCATGGAAGATACATGCACTAGCATCGAAGCACTGCGCAACTACGAGCTCGCACGCCAGGTGTTCTCTTATTGTGAAACAACCCTTTCCTTCAGAGCATGCATAGAGTGTTCGCTACTACAGCGGACCTTTTGAAGAAACGTGAAAGATTCAGTGACGACAACATTGAAAAATAATTAACTCTCATTGAAAGTTAACAACGTCTAACACTATATGACACAAGCCACCGTAAGCCTCTCAGCTTTCACGCAAGCCTCCCGCCTTTTCTTCGCCGCACAAGCCGCAGGAATGAATTACTTTTCTGTGATTGTTTGTTCAGTTACTTTTCTGGAGCTGTAATTAGCCACTGCATAGATTTACATGTTAAAGGCAGTAACGTAAATTACAATCGGTTACTAAATTTGTCTAACGTGCGCAAGTTTGATTTCAACGCGCACGAAAGGCGAAAAGATCTGTGTACATCTGTGTTCACTACGGGCGTCTCTCATAATCACATGGTAGTTTTCAATCAATAATCAATCGGGATTTGCAGCGCTCTTTGTCGATTTCTTTTAGGGTGCGCGCAGTGCGAGAAACACTCATGCACGTTGCTTACCTTGGTGTCCAAGAGAAGACCAGTGCCCACTCGCGAAACCAAGTCTCCGATCGCGCTCGCGGTGACCGGCGCAACCGCCTTGTATCCAGCGAGACCGTTGTCTGTGCCAAAGTCCACGGCGGTCAGCAGGAACGATGAGAGCATGAAGACGGACACAGCTCGTGACGCCGCGACGTGCAGGAACGGCACTGATGCCAGCGACAAGAGGCTGCGCAGAAGTTTCCTCGATGCGCTCTCGTTTACTCTCAGCAGCGGATCCATCTCATCCGTATGTTTGTCAGCCGCTGACCTGGCAGACAGAAACATATATTATGTTGTAGGCCCGTGTGCTCAGGATTGGGCGCACGTTAAAGAACCTCAGGTGGTCGAAATTTCCGGAGCCCTCCACTGCGGGCGTCTCTCATAATCACATGGTAGTTTTCAATCAATAATCAATCGGGATTTGTAGCGCTCTTTGTCGATTTCTTTTGGGATGCGCGCAGTGCGAGAAACACTCATGCACGCTGCTTACCTTGGTGTCCAAGAGAAGACCAGTGCCCACTCGCGAAACCAAGTCTCCGATGGCGCTCGCGGTGACCAGCGCAACCGCCTTGTATCCAGCGAGGCCGTTGTCTGTGCCAAAGTCCACGGCGGTCAGCAGGAACGATGAGAGCATGAAGATGGACACAGCTCGCGACGCCGCGACGTGCAGGAACGGCACTGATGCCAGCGACAAGAGGCTGCGCACAAGTTTCCTCGATGCGCTCTCGTTTACTCTCAGCAGCGGATCCATCTCATCCGTATGTTTGTCAGCGGCTGACCTGGCAGACAGAAACATATATTATGTTGTAGGCCCGTGTGCTCAGATTTGGGCGCACGTTAAAGAACATCAGGTGGTCGAAATTTCCGGAGTCCTCCACTACGGCGTCTCTCATAATCATATGGTGGTTTTGGGACGTTAAACCCCATAAATCAATCAGAAACATATATTATTCAAAAGAAACTTGGAAAGGTGCGTAAAGACGTTCTGAGAAATTTTACAAAGCACACAACGTTTGCAAATGTCACAAGAAAGTTAGACGACGCGAACTATCGGACAAGAAAAATTGGCAGATCCCACGTACAGTGGGAATCGATGATATCCGAAGCACGAATGAGAAATGTTGATATGCCATTTTAAAATCAGCACAACGTTACGAGGTGGAGGTAAATGATGCCGTACACGTGTTCGGTGTCATGATTATCGTGTTTGGATGTGTTGATTACCTTCGTCATCAATTCACGTCACGTGATGCCAAATTTAGTATATGTGGCGCTATCGAAACGGCCGCGAGTACGCTATGAGCGTGGTAGGTTGTTATGTTCTTACATGACACGCGTGTCGTGATTATCATGTTTGCACCAGTCACATACATTTGTCATCCATTCACGTACTGTAATTCAAAATTTGGTATATGTGACGCTAGCGAAACAGCCGCGAGTGCATCATGAGCGTGACATGTAGTCATATTGTTACATGACACGCATGTCATGATTTTAATGTTAGGGTCTGTTGCTTGTGTTCACCATGCAATCATGCCAAACCATACCTGTTTTGCAAGATGCCATGTGAACGAAACCACTGCAAGAGCTGCAGGACCATGAAATGTAAATCATGACATTGAAGACATACATGTCATGATTTTCAAGTTATGACTAGTCAAACATTTTCTTCATGCAGTCATGTTATGCCATACCATGTTTGGTATCGATACCATTATCGAAATGGCCAGGAGAGCTAAAGTCGTAGGCGGCTAGATAGATAGATAGATAGATAGATAGATAGATAGATAGATAGATAGATAGATAGATAGATACGCTCAAAATCACCGAAGTTTGCTAAGTAATGCTTCGCATTTAATAAGCCAAAGGATTGATTTTGTGGGGTTTTAACGTCCCAAAACCACCATTTGATTATGAGAGACGCCGTAGTGGAGGGCTCCGGAAATTTTGACCACCTGGGGTTCTTTAACGTGCACCCAAATCTGAGTACACGGGCCTACAACATTTCCGCCTCCATCGGAAATGCAGCCGCCGCAGCCGGGAATCGAACCCGCGACCTGCGGGTCAGCAGCCGAGTACCTTAGCCACTAGACCACCGCGGCGGGGCAATAAGCCAAAGGAAAGTGCGTCAACTCGCAGCTAATGTTGAATTATAATGGCAGATCGCGAGCGCTGGGCCGGATTGCGAATGGAGCGCGCAGATTCGAGCGGGATTGCTGTCGCCAAATCTGCGATTGGAACGCGCGCGTCTCCACCAAGGAGGATTAAAGAAAAATTGCATGGTCTCGATGGGAGCTGTTGGTGAGCGGAAATCTAGAGAGGGAGCACGAGAGGGTGCGAGGTAGTGCGAAGCGTTTTCCGGGCATCCATCGGTGATTGGATGAAAGGCGGGCGCACAGAATGCGTCACTTGAACTCCCGGTCGAATCCGCCAATTTCGGCGGAGCAAGAATTGTTGCTCCACGGAGCAATCTGTGATCGGCGCTTGCTCTCAATCTGCCACTGGAAGACACAATTCACGATCCCAGTCCGCCTTTAGAATGTGATTGCTCCGCGTCAGGGACGAGACGGTGACGAGGCGGAGGTTCAGTGACGAGACGGAGGCTGCGTACGTCTGTGCGCAGCGGTCACCACAAACTCATCATCATCATCATCATCATCATCATCATCATCATCATCATCATCATCATCATCATCATCATCATCATGACGACTACGTCCTTTGCAGGACAAAGGCCTCTTCGATGTTCCACCAGTTTACTCGGTGCTGTGCTTGCTGCTGCCAATTTATACCAGCAAACTTCTTAACCTCATCTGCCCACCTAACCTTCTCTCTCCTCCTTACCCGCTTGCCTTTACTGGGAATACAGTCAGTTACCCCTGTTGAAATCCAACCTAACATTATTCTTGCTAAGCCACCGCAGTATTTCACCACCCCAAACATGCGCAATAACACGCCGTACGTCACATTGCACATCCGGAAGCTTGCAATGCACGTGCTAGTTCGAAAACTTGTTCGCCTAAACACAGCTAAACACAGTACCACCGACGTGTCGCTAATACATATATACAGCGAGGGAGAATTATCTTTGGTTCAAGAATAACCTTTTCGCACATTTGCCTATGCTCGGCAGCGTGTGTTAATCTTAGGAAAGATTTCTTACCATTCTATGTAGAAAAAATACGGTGATTGAGCGAGAGACGCCAGAATCATACCTTATCAGAAGAAAAAAAAAAGATACCTGTGTTGGCGATACTTCGGCGGTACTGCGTCCAGTTGAATTTGATTTTTTTTACAGGTTTCTCTACTGACACGTAAGTTGAGAGCGTCCGATTGTGCGATTTAACGTATGCTGTGTTATCGCGCATGTGTGGCATGGCGGATATTTTGTGGTGGTTTTGTAAGCATCAAGTTAGTTGCAAGAGGACGATGTTTTCTTTTGCCTTTTCTTCTACAGTGGTTCGCGTCGTATAATTTTTTTGCAACATGCAACGACTAGCCCAACAATCAGTTTACAAATCTTTTTTTCGAAGGTGTTGTCAAACGATGTATTCTGTCACAGTGATTGCCTTTTACGAAAGGAGCTTACTGCAAGTCAACTGAATGTGAAGTGCGCATGGAAGTATGACATGCGTCCCAATCGGTGCTAATGACAAGTAAGTATGTATTACAAGTAACAAAAATTTTGCCTTCGCACTGACATTTTATGACGAGGACAGACAGGAAGTTTGTCGCGGAATGTGGGCGTTGAAATACCGTGGTTTAAACTATGCTGGATCTTCAGCAGGGCCTACATAGTTTCGATAATCAGCCCCAAGTCTCCATTATTTCACCCGTTTCACACGCTCACCGAAGCTGTGCTGCCTTCAGCTCAGTCTAAAACCGCACCCCGCGGACGCGGTATGACTACCTGACTACCGAGCTCAAATCAACCTTGCCTTGGACTGGGCTAGGACAGAGGGCAAGAAATGACGTTGCTCGTATACGCACCAACGCGTCCGCCTCTAATATCACGAAAGCGTAAATTATGCCGTAAGCGAATCAAAGAAATAGACATGTTAACCAGAACCAAACACACCACCCAGATGAAATAGCTTGGATGTGGAATAGCATGGAATAGCTTATATATAGCTGTTCCCAATGAGGCAACTTCGGCGCCAAGTTGTCAATGCTTCTAGCAAATAAGTTATACTGACCACGAGCTGCGCTGCGGTGGTATAGTGGCTAAGGTCATCATCATTATGATCTTCATCATCGTCATCATCATCATCATCATCATAATCATCATCAGATTGATAACGTCTACTTCAGGACAAAGGCCTCTCCCATGTTCTGCCAGTTAACCCGGTTCTGTGCTTGCTGCTGCCAATTTATACCCGAAAACTTCTTAATCTCATCTGCCCACCTAACCTTTTGTCTCCCCGTAACCTCCCCCCCCTCCCCCGTAACCCGCTTGCCTTCTCTGGGAATCCAGTTAGTTACCCTTAATGACCAGCGGTTATCCTTTCTACGCGCTACATGCCCGGCCCATTTCCATTTCCTCTTCTTGATTTCAACTTATCCTTGACCTCCGTTTGTTCCCTAATCCACTCTGCTCTCTTCTTGTGGTTAAGGTACTCGGCTGCTTACCAGCAGGTCATGGGATCGAATCCCGGCTGCGGCGGCTGCATTTTTTATGGATGCGAAAATGCTGTAGGCCCGTGTGCTTAAACTTGGGTGCGCGTTAAAGAACTCCAGGTGGTGGAAATTTCCGGAGCCTTCCACTACGACATCTCTCATAATCATATGGTGATTTTGAGACACGAAACGCCACATGTAAATCAATTTATACTTGCTGCGCCTTGTGGGCAGATCGAAGTGCAGGTTCACGGTAATGCATGTTAGCAGAGGGAACAAGAAGCGTGGAGCACCTGCCTGGGAAGGGGGAGGGATGAGACGAGGTCGACGGTGCAGCACTTTGCAAGCGACGCCGTTTGGAAGCTACTCGCTCGCGGACGTTCTCGGGTGACAGGTTCCGGTGGCGCTTTGCAGTCGCCACTCTCACGGTCCTGGTCCTGCGGCACGCGGTCGACGAACACGGCACCGAACAGCATGTTCAGCTCTAGGGCTCCCAGTATGACTAGTGCCTTGCGGAAGTCGAAGGCCTGTTGCAGAGCTTCAATGATCAGGGGAGACACGAAACCCGACACGGCGGTCACAGCGAAAAGCAGACCCATGGCCGTACCTCGGTATTTAACGAAGTGCCTGGCCACCACTGTGAATGGTAACAGCTCTTCGCAGGCAACTCCCAGTCCTGCAAGGGAGAGAGAGGTAGTCCTTAAAGGCTGGGAGACTAACCGGAAAACAAATACCTAGTTGGCTACCTTGAACTGGGGAAGGAGTAAGGGGGGACATAAAAGTGAGGAGGTCAGGAGCAAAGACATTAAGGGTGTAGGAATATATGTTCCCAAAAAGTGAGAGACACAACGGCGTTCACGCTATGAGTTAACGGGACGGCCCCGTACCTCTTTCCAGTGAAATATAACTGCATGTAATGTTTCGCACATCAGCCGCATGTAAATAAATGTCGACTAACGGTTTTGCCATTTTCTCAGACTTAAGTGGTTTACTGACAACTCATGGAGGATTTGAAGATAATGAGCATATACAATATAAGGAAAGACAGCTATGTTATTCATGCAGTCCTCAGATCGGCTGGCTACCCTGTGCTTCAGAAAGAGAATGGGACATTATGAGAACGCGACGCCATAAAAAATAAATACACATAAATAAAAAAAAGCTGCACGTGATATTCGACAATATTCAAAGACCGTCTCCAAGTATGTCGTCGAGAAACGCAACAATGTTTTCGACTCCTTTTGCTCTCAGTGAGGTCTTGGACAGTACTAGAGGATTATGCTTTTTGAAAAGGGCATTCGTCATGCTTTCTTAAACCTGTAATAAGTTGGTATTGTGACATATGATGAGAGACCGAGGAAGGCAGATATCGTCAGAGTGAAATGGTCAAATACAAGAGTAAGAAGATAATCACTTACAACGCCACAGCTTGTACAGCTAGGTACGAGCAACACAATAAAGTACACATATCTAGCAACAATCCCTTCCTCAACTTAGTTCTCGCAAGAAATCTAACAGGCTTGGTCAGGGCTTACCAAACAAAATGCCGTAGAGGAATACCACAAGTCCGAGGCTCCGAGCCAGTGCGCAGGCCATTACGGGCAGCGCACAAAGAAGGGAGCCGGCAATCAGCAGAATACGGTCCGAAAACCAGAGACCGAGCAGACCATACAGGGGCCCTGCGTGGAACAAATTGCGCGGCAATGAACCAACGATAACAACTCTCACACCGTCGATATTTTCGAAACATGCGATATGCACTGCCACCGTCACTCACTTTTACCTCTGATTTCACTGACGCTCCTTGGTATTGCAGAGCATTTCTTTTCACGAGTATAATCCCCGATCACCTCAGAGACGTCACTGCCACAATATGTTCTGTGCCAACGAACGCGCTTAGGATGTGCATTTAATTCAGTGCCACCATTCAAGGAGCCGTGTTACTTCGCTATTTCAGGCTTTTATTTAACTGAGCAGTTATTTAACTTGGTTAGCGATCTCTTATTTATCGAACGCATACATCATTCTTATACTTATTGTTACAAATGGCACACAAGCTTCTATAGATGACTACAGTATGAAGTTGGGCGCGTTGGTAAGACTTCTGAAGATGATTGGAACGAAGCAGATTGGAATGCGGATATCCATTATTTACTCAGCATTGCCACATAGTTTATTACACACACATGGGCCTCCAGAGGTACGTGAAGATCTTCTCATCTCGCAATTCAGTTCAGGGGACGGCTTTATGCTCTCCCATAGAAGAGTACATAGTACTCTAAATAGTTAACCACTTTTTCTAAACACACATACCTGAAAGCTGTGACATGATGATGGCGACAGTGAGGGGCCATGAGGCATCCTCGCGGTTGACGCGCAGCATGTCCATGAATCCGACGTACATGACGGATTCGGATTTTATTAGCATCATGCCAAAGAAGACGAACACGGCCGCGGAGACTGCCACGGGCCAGCATTCCCGAGTGTCGGGAAGTGCCATTCTCGATGCGTCCGTCGGTGTCGTGTCGACTCCACGAAGACGTGGATGATGGAGTCGCTTAGCGTCGCGTTTCCTCCTGCGAGAGCAAGGAGGCGAGACTATCGAACTGTGCTTTGTCTAGAGGAAGTGATGATCCCGCACTGATCATGATCTCTGCTGCTGATGAAAAACATTTATACGCCGGTTAACTCTAGCGCGTGCCAGGTCGCGGGATCGAATCCCGGCCCCCTCCACATACGGTGTCTCACATAATGACATCCTGGTTCCTGGACGTTAAGCCCCAACAGTTATTATTATAACTCTAGAGCATACACAATTGTTCGTTTCCTTTAAGAGATTATAGGAGTAGCCAGCGTCTTATATGTACGCCAGCATCCTGTCGAACATATATATATATATATATATAAAACATCTAAATATAAATTGTATCTAAAGTGAAATCGTTGCTTCTACAGTGATTATTTATTTATTTATTTATTTAATTGAATAAAGTGAATTGCGTGGATACATGCGGGAGGGACAAACGAAGAATTGTCAGGAACATAGGTATAAGTGCATATTTTGTGAGCGGTAGTCGCATGTCATTAATGTAACTTTTTGTTGCTTTTTTATTATCTGTCTCGGGCATGTTTCTGCGATGAACTCTCATGTGAGTCGTTTAATTTTTGTGCACATAACAAGCTAGCACGAGGGAAATTTTTTGTGTGCAAATGACATGCGCATTCATCTGCGTGGATGTCCCTCATGCTAATTAATATACCAGAGTATTGATCCTAGTACACCACCGAATGAATTTGCTTATTGCTGAGATTCCTTGGGCTGCTTGTACGAAAGGTGAGGACCTGTATATCTTTAAAAAATGACAGCAAAATAATCTCACCATAACATAAGTTATACAGTTTTTTTATTTCGAAAGTCTGTTCTAGGCATATTTTTTCTAGTTAGTTTTTCAAGAAGTTATACAGTTACTAAAGCTCTCCACGCTGCATTTTGTTTTCAATATAAGGACTGGATGTAATTTCTTTCCCTAAATATTTATATATGCGTGCTATGTTTTACCATGACAATGTAAGCGTTAATTGCGCTATGAGCACTCTTTCTGGGAAGCCCTGGAAGCAGCACCTCTAGCATGAGTGTTTACACTATCGGAAAATTAGCTCACGTACCTCTGCGTGACCTCGGGATATTACTTTCTCTACGGCTGATTCCGTTCCCATATCTTTCGTATTCGAATGCTGAGTTGTGCTGCACCCTTCTAACATCGCGATCACTCATGCTTACAGAAAAAGAGGAAAACAGGCACCGTACCTTTTCCTTCCGCAGTTTGTCCGCTTGCCTGTCTTCAACACAACCTCTCTTGCAACTGAAGCATGCTTGTTCTGTTGCACGGCGATGCGTGAAGACCCTTACCTGGGCTTCATAGACGGCAGGCCATCAGCAGCGCCTTCTTTCACCTCCTATTTTTGTGCTGCTTCCTCGATCTTCTTGAGCTTCGGGTGTTAGCTTCATGTCTCTAGCAACACTGGTCATACGCTATTCTCAATAGCACATCTAAATATTTGGCACGAGTGATCACTGCAGCTCAGTTGGTGCAACACCACCTTTCGAATCTGGTCCGACTATAGTGTGAAGCAGAATTCACGTTCACTAATACTCATGGAAGCACTTGAGGCTACCATAATGAAACTACCCAATGCGAGCCGCTTGCATGAGCAGTTTATTGACAACAAGTTGTGCTTTATCGCTTGCCCCTAGCCTAAGAGACGTCCTACTTGCGAGCGCTATCATGTGATCGAGAATACGTACAATGCATTCAGAAAGGGGAAAGGTCTGATAACAATATGGAACACAAAGCAAGGGACACGACCGGGATAATAACTGCGACAATACGAATAGTCAGGTAAGTAGCACGAGAGGCCGCCTCTTTGATGCCATGGCAGTGAACGCAATGCGACAATGTAGCTAGCATGTTATTGTGTTAATTATGCAACGCGTTCTTCCGAGAGAACAATGAGAAAAAAAACACTACAAAAACACCTTGCCGCTGTCATTCAGCGTCCCCGCTTGAGCGCATTCGCACTTGCAAGTGCATTTTCCTTATGCGCGGCAATGGTTACATCGAATTTCCAGAAAGGCATCTTCGTGGTAGGCATACATGCAAAGCAAAAATTGAATTGTGAGCTTTGGCTTGCCATTACCACAATTGAGTATTGTTTAGTGGTAGACTAGGGATTAATTTTGACCCCCTAGTGTTGTTCGCCAACGCAACTTCTGAGTCACTCAGCCACCAAAGTGGGCGATCATGCGTGTAAGTGAGATTCATGGGGTTACATATTTGGGTGAGCTTCCAATGATGGCGCAATTTGTTCATTTCCTTGCTTGACAGCTGCTACTGAAGATTGGCTGGACTTGTTGCACAGCCGCTGCCTTGACGAAGTCCGCAGTCGGCTGGCAAGTGGAAATGAGCACTTGCGAACGATAAGCTTCGTGGGTCGGCGCTTGGACATTAAGTTCACGCGTAACGTCATGGACGCTTGAATCAAGACATATTGAATACATCAGTAATAAATGCTTATTTTCGTATGAGAAGATAAAGATACGTATATATTACACGTCTGTAAGGTTTGTACAGCCAGTACCAAATCAGCCGTACCATGCTGAGTAGGCTGGTTCTCCTACAGTGAGCTATTATCTAAATCAGTGCATTTTAACACGATCGTGTTTTATGCCAGGGTCCACCATGGCTCCGCTGACGTATTTACGTCATGGATATGACGCTGTAAAATATATATGTATATATAGTAACAGATTCTAAAGAAAAAAAAATGAGAAGGGCAACTGTTGTCGCGTGGCGTCGTACTGGCGACCCCTCAATCCACAGCGCGCGGCGTTAACCGATACAGGCCATGGAGCGTACGTTGTGGGAATTGATAACGGCGAGCTATTTATATCCACCATATACCTTTTGGCGGTACTCAGAGCTATGTAACTTCAGCGCGCTTTTGTCGCTAGTAGCTAGATGGCGCGATCGTTTCGCGTTGAGCGCGCTCTCAAGGCCGTCGACTCTATAGTGTTTCTGTGAGCGCCGCCTCCACGGAGTGTGGTCTCTCCTGAACGCACGCTTTATCATATTCATGATTCGGGGCCGCACAAAGGTCAATTATCTCGCTGCCACGGCCGCGTTTACGAAAGAACACGCTTGCTCACACATGAAGAAGTGAGAATTGTGTCAGATGATAGCGCTTTGCCCTGCGTATACTGTGCGTTCGTTTGGTGCGTTTTTCCGTTCGAACAGCGCTGCTTTAGATGTCCAGCTTTGACAGTTGTTAGTCCACGCACAGTCTTGTGTGTACTCATTTCGCGCGTGCTTTCTGATTGAGGTGCGTGCTGCAAGTTTCGAGCTGGTTGTCTTTCTTCGCGTGACTTCGCAATTTGTTGCTGTAGCATTCATCCTTCGCCCTTACGGCGAAACAATGCACAATAAACGTTCGACTACCTCAGTGAAGAAACGTTTTACTTTCATGTTTTACCGATTTTTATATAGAGAGGAATCAGCCACTTTTTTGTGTTAGTTTTCTCGCTGCGTGTTATGTGTTCATATTGCTAAATGCATATATATTGATATATATATCTTCTTTTCCGTAACAATATATTCGGGACGTCCTCAAGTTAAATACAGAGCACATTGTAATAACCACTAAAGTGCGACATGTCAATGTGACTGGCGTCGACATTTCAAGAAAGGATTGCGATCATGTCTCCACCCTTCACCTGCAGGTTAAGTAAGTTCTGTTATGAACCAGTGTGGGGCGCAGTTGGAATACAATAGCCATGCACGCAAACGATCATGCCAGAAGTTGGCAGAATGACAGCAAAACCAGGGCCTCTACTTCGCTATGCGTGGTGACTGCGGAAGATAAATATTATCTTCACAACCACGATGGCCAGGAGATGCTTCGGCATTTAATTTTAACCGGGCTTCGTTTAATACGAAACAGTTTCTTCTACAATAAAATACGCGCGTGATTTGTTGTCTTGAAGCAAGTGAGTCTTTAAATACCTTATTCAAGTACTGGCTTTCCACTAAACGAAGGCGCACATGACGCATCGACTAACCCAATATTCAACGCTTTTTAACGAACGAACTTGAGAGATTTTTAACGTTGTTTCACAAGCAGCCTAAACCGCAATTAACGTAAGCGTGGTTCACTTACGTTGCATGGTATGCGGAACCTTGGTTATGCCACTGACCATGGTTGTAGGAAGCCAAGCTTGGCAACCTCAGTATGGCAGTAAACCGAGAAAATGGTGGCGTTCATGGAGGACCGCTTAGCCGCCTTCACCGAGGACGGTTTCGCGCTGTGTAGCATCGGCAAACCGTTGTTCCGCGATTCAACGACATTTAACGTGGCTACCGTAACCGCGGTTAACTTGCCTGCGTAAACAGGGTATTCGTTGCCTCATCAAACGCGAAAAAAGCAACTAGCGTACCACGTCGGCGTCCTCCATCCGTTATGTCAGCACGAGTGATCCAAGAAACCACCACCCGACGATTTCACCGTATGACGCCATCATGTCATCCATGACCTCCAAAATTTGTGCTGACATCTTTTGCGCCATCATGACGTCACTGCGATTCCCATAACGCAATGTCACATGGTGATGCCATAACATGACATTATTGCTTGGTCAACGGGGCACCAATTTTGGAGGCAGTGCAAAACAGTGTGAGGTGTGAAAGCTTACAGTACCAGTGATCTCAGAGGCATTGCAAAGCAACGTTGGCTGCAGCAAAATTTCGCAGGATGGCGTGGGGGTTTCAATACATTGACTTAGGAGAAAAAGAAGAACGCTTTCGCCGTCGAGTCGGCCGAGGTGAATGCGAAATGTGAGTTTCTCAAATTTATTCTACAATAAATAAATGCTTCAGAGGTATTCGCTCAGCGGAATATAAATAGTACATAATGTAGATGAAAACACAATGGATCACAGTCACGTCGTATTCGTCCAGTTTATGTTCTTTTCAGTTTTGTGTCTCCTGCTCTTCGCCTGAAAACAGATGAAAGAGAAGGCCAGTTTAAAATCGCACAGTTGCTTAAGTAGCTTTGTTTTTGTCGCACTTGAACCGTGCAAACGAGCTAAAGGAAAGACATGAATAGGCATTGGAGAACACACAGTGACATACACAATAGAAAAAAATAAATTGGATTGAAATAACGCATAACCATTTACAGTTCAACATGCGGGATTACTAAATAAAGGCAACAAGAAATTGTAACGCGTCTCTGACAACGCTGTTACTCCACTGGAGTGTAGCGAGTAGGTGATTGAACCACACACAAGAGTAAGAGCGCGTGCGTAGCACGTTCTATTTTTATCCGTTTCTGGTAAACGTTAGTTTCAATTATGGCCTACCAAATGTATCGAAACTGCCAACAGTAGTAGCAAATGCGCACAAGTGCCATCCGACGAACTCATGGCGCATAGCCTCACCTTCAAAGCCGTCGATGTGTTGCCACTCTCTTTTCTTGTGAAATGTGTGCCAGCACAGGCTTACTGTCCACGTTATCGTGAAGACGGCATTGGTGACGGCGAATGATATGTACAGGAGGTCGTACGAACCCACTACGTCCCGAATGTAACCTAAAAGGGAGAAGAGTGTTTTGTGAGCGAACTTAGATGGCATCGCCGACGTGAACACTAACTTATAAAACAACTGATTGAATACCGAGAAATATTTAGTTTAGTGCATCCCCTATCTGCACTCACCGGTGCAAATAATTCGTTATTTTTAACTGACCCTGTAGTGATCTTGATTATGCTTGGCTGTATTGAAAATAAATAGAACCCAAATAAGTAGAATTGCTAAAAACACAGGATGACACGCCTTAAAATATTCGCCAAATATTACGAGAACGAAAAAGAAAAAAAAGATATAAAAGGTAGAGGTAAAATATTATCACAAGTGACAATTATTATACCAGTTATTCAAACTGGCCGAATGAAAATAATTACAGAACGATGCATCATTATAGAATAGTCCTACATATTACACGTTTGTGAGTGGGGTGAAAGAAAATCCTCGTGTATATTGTGCCTATTCCGAAGTTCATACGTAAAGATCTCCCGTTGCAGATGCTTGTACAGAGCAGCATTCAATATTATGACAGCTGGTGTACGTCCACAGTGATCAATTTGTAGACTACTGCTCTGGTATTACTTTGTTTTAGAAGCATTACCGTTCGAGACTGAAATGTTTGAGACTCACGAAAAGTAAGGTACAAATTACTCCTACACTCACAAAAGTTCAGCTGTGCCTCTCGAACGATATTCGAATGTACTTTTGAGGAGCCCTTGCAGCATTACATTGGAATCGGCTGGTGATATCTATATTCGCGGCTTACCTTTACTTAATCAAGGGTGGCATGCTAATTCTGTGTATAAAGTGAAACGATAAATTTTCATGCATTTGATAGCATGGCGTCAGCTCACCAATGAGAGGTGGGCGAGCAAGGCAGATAATGCCAGCAACGAAGTTTGTGACGCCCAGGCTTAGCGGTAGCGACCGCTCATCAAACAGCTCGGCAACCATGATGGTGCAGGCAAATATTCGCCCACCACCAGTAACACCAGTGAAGAAGCAGCTGGTAAGGAGAATCCAGTATTGTTTGACCAGCGCCATGACAGCCAGTGAGACTCCCTGGATGGCGAAGCTCCAGAGCATAAGAGCGTCCCCGCTGATCACCTGCAAATGCATCAAGGAAGTGTGGAAAACTGCAGAAGGAACAAAAGAACAGCTTGGGGAGCGGAAAAGTGGACACTGCTTCTTGGTTAAAAAGAAATCTTCTTGAAGGAAGAAACGAGGAGAGAATAGACAGAAAGAGTGGTTAACCAACAATTGAATAACCGGCATGCTACCCTACAATGGGAATGCGATGGGGGAGAGTGAAAGTTTGAAGGGTAAAGAGAGAGAGGTAGAGTGAGTAGACAGAGAGGAGAGATACCAGGGGAACGCACTCAACCTCCCGCTCGGTCAGTCTTGCGCAAAAATTGTGTCTAACTATAGCGCGTAGATTGGCAGAAAAATAAGTGACAAACTAGCACTCGCCTGTTACCTGTCCCTATGGTTTGCGATTCTTGAGTGCGCTAAGGCATTCAAAAACCTTTTACCAAGTCTAAAATCTGCTGACGTGACTGTCTATCCACGCGTATATGTGGCGAACGCGACTTATGAGCATGTGGCGCGTGCTTCGACATCATCACCCTTCCCAGAGTTATCGGCAAAATCCTCTGCCCGTATCAACAAAATGCGATCATGGTGGCCTCGACTGGAAAGTCTAATGAGTGGATAATAAAAGGGGACGGGTTTTGACGGATATATCGTCGTAAATTACAAAACAAGCACACTGCTAAATAATAACAGGGCAATACCCATGCTGCTGTTGGCATAGTTACGCAACTACAAACTAATGGTTCTCTAAAGCGTATGCCATTGTTCAACATGTTAGTGCGTACGACATTTGTACATATATTTAGCGTCATTTCGCTCAATAAAAAGATAGCACTACAGTCACCTTTCATCCTTATGCTTCGCATAACATCGATTTCCGAGGTACGTGGGATCTGCCGAAATTTTCCCACTTTTTTTTTTTGTCTGTTTCTAGCTCCCCTAGCTCGTTCTCTCTCTGTCATTCTTTTGCCTATTTCCCCTCTGTTTCTCTTCCCACCTCTTTCTTTGTCTTTCTCTGTACTCGTTCGCTCGACCATTAGAGTTATTGCATCTCACGCGGAACCAATCGGCGCGAGTCTTTCAGGAGCGAAGCAAAAGACGATGAACTGGACCAGGATGAAGAAGTGGATTAAGAGAGCGCAGTGACAGTTCACGATGGCGATAGTTTTCTCGTGTCGCCACACGGCATCAATGGGAGGCTTAACAGCTCATCTGTAAAATTACACATCTTAATGCTACAATGACGATTGGCCATGGACTTTTCATTCGGTTCGCGACTTATACTGTACACTATAGGCATTTATGTCGGCACTACATTTGCTCGCCTTTTCGATGTACGAGTGATGCTAGCGATAAAAAAAGAAGAAGAAATAGAAAAGAAACTACACTATGTCCCACTAAATACAACCACGCATGCGAGGCAGCGCATAGGTCGACCTAAAGCTCTGTTCATCAGGGACACCCTGCCCGATGTTAACACTCTTTGCAAGTGGAGCACACGATGAATTAATTCACTATACCTCAATTCTTGTTGGAGCACGCCACTCGGGTTCATCACCATTGTACGCGCGGGAGCACGTGCGTTAATCACGCGTCTGCAGGATCTCGTTCCCCGACGCGATCAGTTGATTACTGAGAGAGTGTAAGAGGGAGAGGCCGTCGCCTCTTACACAACCACTTACGCAGGCCTGAACGCGCTAGCGCGTGCCAGCGCGTTCTGACTAGGATACAACGTGTTGGTCGATCTGCGCGTCTGCAGATTCTCGTTCCACGACGCTATCACATGGTTGCTGAGAGGGCGTAAGGGAGAGAGTCCACAGCGTCTTACCCAGCCCCTTACACAGGCCCGACCACGCAAGTGCATGAGCGCGTTCTGGGAGGGCTTCAGCCAGCTATTGCGCATGCGTAGTAAGGTGGCCACGCACACCGAATTGAGCTCGACCGTAAGCTGCTTCGCATCTGCAGGGCTTAAGTTTATGACGCAGTCACCTTCACGCTCTCTGGCCATCCTCATGTAAGGGTTGTCGTCGCTTGGAAGTATATTTTAACTCCACTTTTTCGCCTATGCCAGTTTCATTGTCGCATTGTCTGTGGAATAACAGTAAGGGAGCATACCTTCGAGTCCAGAATCAAGCCGGTGCCTATCCTGGAGATCAGGTCCCCGACGGCGCTTACGGTGACCAGGGCGACCGCCTCGTAGCCGCCCAGACCATTGTCCGATCCGAAATCGACGGCCGTGAGCAGGAACGAAGAGAGCACGAAGAGAGAGACCGCCCTTGATGCAGCCACGTGAAGGAATTGCGCAGACACCAGAGAACGCATGTTGCGCGCCAGCCTTTTGAAGGTGACTCGCACTTTTCAAGAAGGGAATCCGCTTCATGTGGTCGCACGTCGGGTAGGGTAGACCTACAAGGGCAACGACACGCATGACTGGTGGGGCCACTTGATACCGACACATTACTGCAGTATCGCTAATATTCATAATGAATGAGATGCAAAAGGCCCCGCCACGGTGGTCTAGTGGCTAAGGTACTCGGCTGCTGACCCGCAGGTCACGGGATCGAATCCCGGCTGCGGCGGCTGCATTTCCAATGGAGGCGGGAATGCTGTAGGCCCGTGTGCTCAGATTTGGGTGCACGTTAAAGAACCCCAGGTGGTCGAAATTTCCGCAGCCATCCACTACGGCGTCTCTCATAACCATATGGATGGTTTTCTGACATTAAATCCCACATATCAATCAATGATCAGTCAATGAGATGCAACAGCGTCGTAACGTAATAGCGCTTAATTTTTGTCAGCATCATCGCCTTCAGCCAATAATTAATGAACTAGTTCAATAACTGAAAAATTATTCGACCCATTTGCTACTCTTTCTCATTCGTTCGTCATCTTACCTTCACCAAAGTTTGTTACTTCATTAATTATTAATCAAATAATTAAATATACTAACAATAAATGAACAACTAGCCAAATCATTATTTTCATTTACCAACTATATATCACAGTATTGTTTCCATGCCTGGTTGGCATGGGGCATATGTCAGCACTACTATACAAATAGTACATAATTCAAGAACAAATGACGAATGCACTTATTCTAAATATAAAATCTGCTGATTCTTCAATACATCATTGAAGAACTGAGAACAGACAATCGTGACTTTTGTTCGGAAACGTCGACCAATCCTTTTTTTTATTGCAGTTAAAATAAATTACCTTCACCATTTAGGGAAGTCACTAAAACATCTTTGAGCGTCATCCCCGCACGCCGTTACATTTGAGTAACCACCTAAAACTGAGTTTTTAGCACCACTTGTTCGGCAAAATTGTCATCACAATTAACAATCCGGATGAAGTCACGCTCTAAGCAGCGTGCCTTTAGTGGGCTAAATAGACTCGTCATACACTTTGACATGCAACTGATGTTGTGCACTCATAATTAACGGATTCGGGTGTGTCTGTTTTATTCTGCTGCCAACTCGCTTTGTTTCTTACTTGATTGCCGTCGTTGTGTGAACTAAACATTTTACGAATTAAGCATACTGTACATGTAACGCAGAGAGTACACGAAGGCCTTATTTGCTCTCAGGTTAGGCTAATATTCGATGATCTGACACTGCGAGATTCGGAACGCCTGTTGTAATTTGGACGACGCTGCTTTAGTAACGTTAACGTTCTCAAGTACGTACACACACAAAAATTTCTGTTTATCATGACGCTTAGTGACAAAAACATATCGCGTTAAGATTGGTCGATAGTTCTATTACGAAATAATAGCTTTGTGAATTCGGGCCGAGATATTACGAATAAAACGAATGTAATCAATAAAGTTATCTTTTTTGCACAATGGTTGTTATTGCGGCGAAGCCAGCTTCGCTGAGCCTGCTTTGAAACGTCACGACTCAAAACGCATCACATGGCTTTTGAAGGTACAAAGAAGTTGCTATCGAAACGCTGTCATTTTTCTATTGGGTTTCGTCAACTTTTACATCCTTTACATTGGGCCTCAATCGATCGTCACTTAGAGATTATGTTAGTAAAGTACAGCGTCGCCGTATCGGGAAGATACCCATCAGTGACTACGGAAACCTGTAAAAGCTTGCTGACATTTGGGATTGTTAGTTTGCACCTAATGTACGATTGTTAATTTTCAATTTGGCATTACAGTTTTCCACATGAGTGCACGTGAAAAGACATGGCGTGGATGGATATTTTCAGTCACCTCCAAAATAGACAAGCTGAAAGATTACTTAACACTTCCTTTGCCTATTGCACAGAGAGACCAAAGTTCCCTTCGAAACTGCGGATGAGTTCCGTAGTTGTTCAACTCTTATTCTACCTCATAGCCAATCACCACCGTTACTCTCCCCGCGATTGTTCTGACGCAGATCTTTGACCAGAACAGTTAGAGTAAGTCTAAATAACACTTGAGAGTAACGTCTAATCAGTGTCACGAAAAGTTGACCCAGTAGCCCCTGTGCAACATATGACAACCAAGTAGACTTAAGCAGGTAAATATAATTATGCTGCTAATAACTATCACCGTAACACTTGAAAAAGCGCAACTTGACGTCACTATTACTGACAACTAAAACACGAGTGAGGCCCAACATGAGGCTGCATTTATTGTGATCAAGGTAACAATGAAGCCCTAAAATCGTATAAGACAACGGCCATAGGTGCGCAGTAGACGTGACATTTGATTGATACGTGAGGTTTAACGTCTCAAAACCACCATATGATTATGAGAGACGCCGTAGTGGAGGGCTCCGGAAATTTAGACCACCTGGGGTTCTTTAACGTGCACCCAAATCTGAGCACATGGGCCTACAACATGTCCGCCTCCATCAGAAATGCAGCCGCCGCAGCCGGGATTTGATCCCGCGACTTAATCTGGACGTGACATTCAAATGACTCACTGTCGCCGAAGACGACGGCTACTTGCCTGGCAGTCAACGATTCCACGATGCTTTTAGAACAAGAGTGTGCGAACGACGCCGCTTGAAAGCTGCTTCTTCTCGGCCGCCCGACGACTGCCGGCGACTTGGGCAGCTGCGAGCCGCGGCGACCTCGACGGCAGTCGCCATCGCTGCGTGGGACGCGGTCGACGAAAATGCAGCCGAAGAGCATGTTCAGCTGCAAGACGCCCAGTATGAGCAAAGCCACGCGGAAGTCGAAGGCCTGCCGGAGCGCCTCGACAATCAGGGGAGAGACAAATCCGGACACAGCAGTCACCACGAACAACAGACCCATGGCGGTGCCTCGGTAACGAACGAAATGCCGCGCCACCACCGTGAACGGCAGCAACTCTTCACAAGCCACGCCCAAGCCTGTGTGAAATGTGGAAATTGAATTGATAGGTTGTATGCAGCGCACTTCTTGCTGGCTGACACGTAGCTTCAAGTTCAGGACACTGGATTTTTGGTGAGCGCAATGGTTGGGACAGCTGGCGTGGTCAGATGACCCAGAAAAAGAAAAGAAAAACCAAATGTTTCTAGAGGGTTAGAGCACACCTGCGACCCAACTGGTATTTGAAACTGAGAAAAGATAGCGAGTCTATGAGAACAATGAACTGACGTTATCTCTAAATGGCGTACGTTGAGACTTACTAGACCTCATACGTGTAACTACATACCTGTTTTACTACAAAATTATAAGGCATGTGAAGGTCTCCAACTCATTGATTGATTGATTGATTTGTGGGGTTTAACGTCCCAAAACCACCATTTGATTATGAGAGACGCCGTAGTGGAGGGCTCCGGAAATTTTGACCACCTGGAGTTCTTTAACGTGCACCCAAACCTGAGTACACGGGCCTCCAACATTTCCGCCTCCATAGGTCTCCAACTCATCCCCAGGGTTCACATTGCAGTATCTCTTTGGGAACATAGAAAGCTATAGCTGAATGTGAACATTACGGAGACGTCCTGAGGCTCTTGCTCTTTGGTCTCACCGTAAAGCACGCCATACAGAAAGATGACGAGTCCAAGGCTTTGTACCAAGGCACACGCCATCACAGGCAGCGCGCACAGAAGGGCTCCGGTTACGAGCAGGATACGGTCCGAAAGCCAGAGGCCGAGTAGTCCGTACAGAGGCCCTGCGATGCGAGTGTAGATGAAACAATAAGCAGAGCGTACCCCGCCATTTCTCCCGTGAGTGCTAGATCGACACAAAACGTAACAAAGTTAGCAGTTATACAATGAAAAAAAATCATGTATACCATGCCAAAAAAAAACTTATATACAGTACTGCTTCATCAGTGCACAAAGCAAACTCTTACGTTTTCCCCAAAGAAAGTTTGCACTGGAAGTAAACTTCATCCAGGCAGTGCTACATGACTCACGACTACGGTGTTTCGAACCCACAAACACTGAAAAAACATCATTCCCGTATATGTTGTGTGTAGATAAGTCCATTTTAGCCAATAAAAGGGCGCCCCGCATCCTTTTATTGGATGCGGGGGCTTATTAGCTCCCGTGGGCTAATAACGTGGGCTTATTACCCCACGTCATTAGGTGCACGCGCTCGAGCTTGTATCCACCCTCACTTTGAACTACGTTTAGTAGGAAGGCTACGTTAACTAGTCAAAGGAATCGTAATGTTTGGCTATTCGAAAAGACTGCAGACAGTTCTCTGCCGGTGAAGTACCAGTTAGCTGCGACATGATGATGGCGATCGTGAGTGGCCACGACGCTTCCTCGCGGTTGACGTGCAGCATGTCCATGAATCCAATGTACATGACGGACTCAGACTTGGTCAGCATCATGCCGAAGAAGACGAACACCGCTGCGCAAGCTGCCACGGGCCAGCAGGCCCGAGAGTCCGGAAGCGCCATTGCAGGTCTTCTGCAATGGTCTCTTCGTTCTACCTGCGGTCCAAGAAGAAAGAACGGTATGCTGAGCTGTGGTAATCTTGTGGACTGCTGAAGTACGAAGGCAAAGCGAAGAATGATAGACTATATTTTTTCAAGACTATAACGCTTTCTTTCTGTTCACACAACTAAATAAAACGTACAATGCCGTAGAGACAAGTCACTACATGGGCTGTTGAGAACGTGGGACTTTTCTCCACGGTGCTGTATTTCCGCCACATCGAGGGTCAAGTTTGGTCCATTCCGGCTTGCTATAGGCAAAGTAAGACAATTTTGGCGCTTTCTCTGCAAATTATCCTGTGTTTGCCATGAGATTCTTAAGACCAGAATCGAGACACTGTGAATGAAAGGGATATGTCGGGACATGTAACGTCTGCCACTGTTACATATCTCGACATAGGAAACTTGGCAGCGACATATGTTACGAGCTTTGTGGCGCAGTTGTTATCTGCTAGTGTCCGTAACCAATATCACATGCAATGAGAAATTATACTGAAAACCGAGAGAGATTTGAACCCAGGCTCTCTGCG